AAGATGAACCCTATTCATGCTAGCAGCCACACTCCTTAACACTAGCCCACCTTGAATATCATAGATGCAGATTGTATACTCAAATCAATGCTCAAATCCTTAAGCTACAGTAAGATTTAGCTGATGATTTATGATCATGAATCGAAGATATGACTCTTCACAAGACATCCAAAAGGATGAAGAATGCGAACGGTCACGAGACGGAACATCGACATCTCAATGACAACGCTTGAAGGGAAAAAGCTACGAAGGATATACATTGCGGCAGACCACGCTATCATCCTGAACAGACGACGACCGAGCAAAAAAAATCAATATCCAGACGCCACACACCACTCTTTTACGCGCACCCGCGCGTATCACCGCTGGAGGAATGAGGGTGACTACCCGAGAGAGTCCAAAATACGGTGACGAAACTCAAAACCCAAACAAATTTCCGAACGAATACGGCCTTTGATACTTGACGCGACGCAAGGGTAAACTCAACGCAAGCTAGGGCGTTAACGAAGGGCAGGAGAAGAGAACGACAGGCAAAGGCACGGAGAACGATGGCCAGTGTGCCAGAGTACCCAACTCGTATAAGGAGACGGCAGGGGCAAGACCTAATGAGGACCAAGGATGCAAAGCACAAGCGATTAATGCAAGAGAGGCGGTCGACAAACTGCGCCATGGCTCGCTGGCGATACGCATCATTCAAAGACATAAACACGGAAAAGTCGTAGAGATTGACACAACAAGACGAAGACTCAGGGGCGCTACTGTGATGAAGGCGTCGCCCGAAGGTGGCGATGATGGAGACGAAGCGGAACGAAGTGTGGGTGACGACGAAAATCCATGGGAGAAGGCGACGCCACGGGATGGAATCCAGAAGCACCAAGCGTAGGCGACACTTCTGCGGCACGATGGAACTAAAACAAAAAACAACTTCAGACAACATTAATTGGCAAACAGGCGAACCAGGAAAACGCGGAGAACACGGTGTCCAAGTGTCCCGAGGCAAACATCACCGACGAAACTTGGGGAACTCTTTTTCCAAGGTTCAGAGGCAGACAACACCGACGAAACTTCGGAGGGAGCTTGTCGAGAGAACCAAAGACCAACAACAACAACAAAATATTAAGCAAGGGTGAGAGAGAACGAACATCCAGGTCACGGTAGTTCACTGAGTCAGATGAATGCAGGCAACAAGGAAGAAGGATCACTCGACACTGCGTGTCTTGAGGCGGCGTTGCCCCAGCGTCCAAAACAAAAAATATGCCAACGAAAGAAAAGAGACAAGACAGAAACAAAACAAAACAAAGCAAAACAAAACGGAAGGTGACAGAAAAAACAAAATCACAACGTCGGCGAGAAGGATGGCACAAAAGACCAAAATAGGCCGATTGGTATATGAAAACGACGACCCTAAGAAGAAATGGTGGGAACAGCCGACGGTAAGGAGTCAGCAAGGAGCGGAGTGCGATCATGGTTGTCGCCCAGAGGGCGCGAACGATGTTTCTCTAAACACCATGATCCACAGACGGCGTCCAAGGCGGTGGAGTAGAGGTGCGCAGGCAGAGGAAGAACGCTTTGGCCCGAGTCATCCAAAAACCGAACGATGTACGAGCCGCCCTGATGAGCACCAATACGTCCGGTCCGCCACAATCCATCACAGGCCTTGTACCACAGCCGCGCGCCAACAGGGAGGGGCGAAGTGCTGAAACGACGAAGCCAAGTCGCGTTAAGCACAAGATCAGCCCCAGGAGGCAAATAGCGTTCTCCACGACTCCGGGCTAGCTCCCGCTGTGCCGCGCGAGTCCGAGCCAATCGATATGTACGGTTACCCTGCTTGCTTTGGCAGGCCTCCCGGGGCCAGTACAAGAGGATGTGTCGACGGAATTGATCAAGGTCGGATTCCCGTTCCCATGAAGGAGTAGTCAGGCCTACCCAATGTGTCTGGTGCAGGACAGCGAGAACGCCGCTACCGCCCCGCACCAGTTGATGTCCCGAGATGCAGTCAACCTCGAAGCGCCCGACAGGCACCGACACATCATCCGCGGTGACGTGGAAAGGTGGACATTTACCTCCGAAAGAGTGCAGAACATGACGCGAAACCTCGGCGGGCAGATATTGAGGCAAGTCGTCCGTCTCGTACGGATTGCGACAGGGCTTGCAACGAGGGACAGACACGCGACAACGAGCTGCCGGGCCGGAAAGATCGGAAGGCAGGTCCAGGTAGAGGAGTTTACGCGCCAGCGGGCGGCCGTCCGGAGTGGCGTCGGCAGAGGTGGGACCCACCGCAAGAACTTTGTAGGGCCCCGTCCAGGAAAGTGCGAATTTGGCCTTGAGCACCTGTTGGTCCGTGTCCTTCTGCACACCCTGTCGAATTGTAGCAGCCGTGTTGTACACCCAAGCCCACCCGCCAACGGTATACTGAGGGAGCTTGTGAATGGCGTCCAGCAGGGATGAATTTCGGCGTTCGACTCGCGAAATCTTCAGGGCGTTGTACTCACGGACAAGTTCGTAGGCCCGGCGCTGGCGATCGACAGCCAGGTTGCAATACTCGAGTTGATCGCGGGCCAAGCTTTGATGACCACCTACCGTGGGATGATCGAAGACCGAAAGCGGGAGTCGCGGGATGCGTCCGATGTGGATCTCGTCTGGCGCTAATCCAGTAGACTAGTTCACGGAATTGTTGTAGGCAAACTCAACGTGCGGGAGACGTATGTCCCAACCGTTTTGCTGTTCGTTGACGACCACCGCAAGCATCTGAGCCATCGTGTGGTTGACGCGTTCCGTGCCGCCGTTGGTCTGTAGGTGGTAGGAGCTGGTGGTGACCTTTATTCGATAAAGGCTGACCATTTGACTACGTGCACAGTCATCGATGACT